TCCGGGTAGAATATCAAGTCTTTGTTTTGTCTAATTGTAAAGGTAGAATACCTGTATGACAGCATCAAGCATGCCTGGTATTAAGAACTGATATCACAGATTACTATCAAGTGCAAAATGTTAAAAGGAACATCGAGATCTTGTATTATCAATGATTATCAATGATAATACAAGCGTTGCAGACAGAAGCCTCTTCTGACTCCGTTATCATCAACAAACTCTTTTGAACACGATATCATGATTGACCGGAAATAAAACAAAACTCACCTGTATGACACGATTATAATCTAATCAGGTCATACATCCTTACGTCACAAAGCTTGACCTCCACGAAAAGGTTAAGTATATGAGAGTGTCACATCCGGCTACGTAATGTAATTGTATCTATGAGAAGAAGCTTATATCCATCAAGATAAAATTCGCCCTCGCCATTGACTTTAATTAAACAAAATGAATTGCAAAACTGAAACAAGCGGATCGGGAACAAGTTATAACAAATTATAAAGGCACTCCAAACAACAAAATTAAATAAATTGTCAAAATGCTAAATATTGGTTACAATAAATGTCATTTTACATCAGTTTTTAAGAATATAACAAAAACTCCAAATCATTTAAAAAGCACAAAAACAAAAATGTTTTCTCATATTATTTTGCAACACATCGGCTTTACTTTTGCGATTAATGTTTCGATTTTGAAATTACACTGCCCTAATTTTGACAGAACATATTAATGTAAAATAGACATATTACAAATTTGTTAGGATTTCGTGTATTAAAAGCTGGTATTCCAGGTCGTGTACATCAACGAACTTTTATCAAATTATTATTATATTTCTATATCGAGACATCCACTGATCAGCATGAAGTCATTATTTTCTACACCGAGACATCCCTTGACAAACAGGAAGTCGATATTTACTTCGTCGAGACATCCCCTGATAAACAGGAAGTCGGCCGTCACCATACATGTTCTTTAACATAACTTCTAAATCAGGAAGTTTTGAAAAAGAAGCAGATCAAATCACGATGCTGATATTTTATTGTCTCTATTATGACATACGGCAACCAAAGTCATATATACTCAAAAAAGAACATGTTTCAAAATAAACCAAAATCAAAGGGAGAACATTAATTAGCAGCACCAAAATCCAAGGAGAGCAACATCAACCTGAATAAATATGGGATATTTTATCATTACTTTAGTAACACATAACATCTTGAACATCCCAATGCAAAACCAAACGAAGAGCAGCATGAACCAGCATAAAGTATGATATCTGAAACAAACTATACTATATTGTGTGTAGCATCTGTTGTAACGTTATTTTACTATCGTATTATATTAAATCGTATAAATGATGTAACAGTTGCGGTCTGATATATTTTTATTTCAAACAATCCCTATCGAGTTTGTAAGAAAGTCCTCCATCAGATTTGCTGGTTCACTGCCCAGACTAGATGTCGCACTCAGCTGTCGTGTAGCCCTTGCCTAGAGTACACTCGCCAACAAAGATCGTGTAATTCCTGTGTTAGTGCTGGAAACAAGCGAGCAGTGCACCATACGCTTCTTTCATCCCAAATGTGCTGAAAGATTGCATCACATTGGTTAGCCTCGCTTTGATAATTGGCACAGCAAAAACACGTAAAGAACGTGTAATTGCGTGTACGTAAACAGGTATAGATTCACTGGTTAGGTTGGGGACATACGGGACGACTGCAGACATAGGCTGTACCATCCATGCTTCATAGACCTTGACAGGTTTTAACACATATCGTCAAACGCACGTGGGACTCGGCAGGGGTGAACACTACATTCTGATGTTGAAAGGGTTGAAAGATTCTTGCACGAGCAACGAGTGAAAACCTTATTTACAGAATGTGATGTCTTCGGAAGGGAAGCAGTACTAAAAGTGATTAAAAAATACTTAAATCATCGTTATATTTCCATCATCCGTCTAGCTGAATTATTGCGTTTTAAATAAGATTGGCAATATAACGAAGGGAAAATCAGGGGAAGGAGAATGCTGTATCGTGTTAGCAGCATTTCATACCCCCTCTGCGTTAAAATAGTCGTAATGATAAGGTGTGTCTGGGTCAATAAAAATGCATTTCTATTCAAATCAAACGTCCGTCGACGGGACTGGAGTATTCCGTTCGCCAGTGTTTCTCTGTCCCGAACACTCACCGTATTGAGATCTACCGTAAATGTTCGATTTAAAATGTCATTAACTAGCCCTTCGCGTGGTGACTGAATAGACTTCAGATCATACATTAGCGGATATTTATCGGACAGGAGGCTGGTTGAACTCTCAACATGGCGTCTGACAGTGTCACTAAATGTGCCACAAGTATTTCAATCTGTTGTAATGAAGTTGGTTCGGGAGGCAGCCAGCCCGTCCTACAGACATGATGTCAGCTGAATTTCAATTAAACCGAGTGTCTATTAACTGTTATTACTCGTGAGCTGCAGAGTGAACATTGGAAAATCATCAAAGACTGCATGTCTTCCACACGACTCGTGCCTCCATAGCAACTCAACAAACGCAAAATTCCGAGTGCGCTAGACCGGAAGTAGTTGTTGTCACGTGTCATTACTTCGATCACTGCAGTTTCGTGGTCGTTTCCCACAATTAACTGAAATTGTCACTTATTATTCTAGTGTCTTTAACCTGGATTTCATGAAATATTCATGGGTGAAAACCCCGAATTTCTGAACGGTTTATTGATAGTGACATGCGTAGCAGCCGTAATTTGTCAAAATGTGTATTATTCATTAATCATTATAATGAGCTACACTCAAAGTGTTGAAAACTCTTATCTCCGGCGTACCGTCCCGTGTAAGACTCATATAAGCGTTTAACGTCCCGTGACGCGACAAATGTAACTAAACGCTCATTATGAAAATTTGTTTTTTTCTCGATAAACCTGCACAATGGCCATGGATGACTGACAGAGCAGAACATATGACTACCGTCGTCCTTCTCTGTGGCAAATATATGTAGTGTTTATACATCACAGGTGGCTGGCGGGTTCGATTGAGTCATATAGAGTGTGCCCAAGTGCCTCAAAACGACGTGTTTACCGCGCGAGCTCGCGCCGTTTGCTACCGCACCTATCTTACGACAGGGCTTGATGCCTGAGTTTTAGATACAATGATATTTATTTAATATGGTGATCTTTTAAAAGCGTATATATACCCCTAAATAACATTCTCTTCACTTAACAGACAAGAGTAAAAGGACCGGTCTCAAGGTGCGAAGTTGTGAATGAGAAGCGCTTAGAGTCCCAGCTATATGTGTTCACTGTATCGTACGGAAAACCTTTAAACACGAGCCTATCTAATCTATAGTCGCCAACAAATTGCTCAAACAACCTTACACCGTGATCGCCGAGTACCGACTTCTCAAAGCTCCGTCAGATAGCAACTTAATACACTATGACGAAACGAGGGCAGTCTTACGCTGTGATCTGAATATATTTCATGTCTGTCTTGTTTTGAAAAATACATTTCTGCATTTGAACATAAAAGAAGTACACATGTCCTTGTCAGTTTCCTCAAAGGTAGACAGGTAATATAAATCAGACCTGCTGGTTTCATTGAATACAAACGGACCCCCACTACAAGACATATACGACTTGGTCATAACATTATAGCGCGCGCGCTGGGCCGGGTACAGGGTACCAACAAAACGACATAGGAGAGATATAGCTTCTGCAATATACAATCTCGCGTATTTATAGCCACATTGCCCTCCATTTCAACACCGTGTCGGCTTAATTAAGACCGCCGCTATTACATGAACATGTACTTTTATAGGGAAATAATAGTATGTAAGTCATAAATCTATCGTCCCTTGGTTTGTGGTCTGAACACATTTGGCATTAGACCTAGTAATAATATTCAAATTTCTTTAAAATAATTAAAAACTACGAAAACTATTAACCGCGGTTTGTGTGATGTTCTATAAGTATATTTCCTGTTATTTGTATTTAAAATACCTAAATGAAAAAGTCTTAAACCTCCTTGTGACGGTCTGATAGAAGGAGAACTTGTTGTAGTTAAGCCGTTTATTTTTTACAAATGTTCATTTAGTACGATAGTTGTGCAAATGTGTTTCAAATTTTGGGCAAAAATGAGCCTAAATGGATGAAAACATTATACAGTCATCACCCTATGGCGTACACCCGTACTCGCTACAATCTTAGCAATTCACATCTCCCTTGGTTTATTTCAATTTTTATAATTTTCTTATTAAAAATAACTTTTCTAGATTATGTTAATGGCCAAAAGATTTTCTCTGGCATCAAAGACAGTGGTATCTTTATTGGTGAAAGTGAAACGTTACAGGTGCACACGATACAAAAACAAAGCCAAATTACATCATTCTCCATCCTGCTTGAGAAAAGATCAACGAGAAAGAGAATTAATGAGAAATGGGTTTATAGCCAGACATGAATAATTTAAAAATGGCGACCAGTTCATATTTTTTAGAGAAAAGGGGAGCTTTTTGTAGCTAATACAACATTCTATGTTCGAAAATTGCCCGGGGAATTTCCCTGCAGTAATACACGCATTTAAAATAGTCTTTTGTCAAATAATTATGTAAGGGACACTCGGTTATTTTTATTATAAAATTCAATCCAATTGATGTCTTACTGTATAAAGCCAACCTTCCAGATACTTGACGTTTTACTGGGAAGTGGAAATACGTGAAATAAAAACGCCAACTTCAACAAATGCAACAAAAATAACTTATTTGAAAAATACAAAATGTTTTTTTCTCCTTTCTAGCGTATAATTGTTTCCACTTGTTTTACTAAGTTTCGTTTTATACCTGATGTTTTTTCTCGACAGTTTTATAATAATATTAATTGAAGTCAAGATAAAAAAATAATCAGATTCCTTATTCCTTGTGTTTTACAACACATCGGGGAGAAGACATTACATAAACAATATTTACAAAAGTAGAGCATTACACAACCAAATAGAGCACCTACCTTTCTTAAGAACTGGTCCAAATACACTGTAGTTTTGGGACGTGGTACAATTCCAACGTTCGAACTTAAATTGCTTCTGGCACTCGGTAATGGCCGCCTTGGCGCCCCGACTCACACACAGAATAGATTCCGGGTTTCTAAGACATTCCTGTTGTTGTAAATCCACGAGCCCCGGGACGGAACTACACGTGCCGCGGTCCTGGGGGACAGCGGCCAGTGACGCCACACCCAAGTGCCTGTGGGGGAACAAACAGCAACATTATTACGTCACAACATCCACAGGTCCGAGACACAACAAATTGAATGTCAGCAGTTTGTTATTTTAAGAATAAATCAAAATATTTAAACTTGTCGTGTGTGTGTGTTGTGTGTGTGTGTGAATATAAATAAATAAAACCGGTTTGCATTTTAAAAGGATCTGAAACGTGTTCTTTGTTTATTTAGAAATTCTGAGAAATGTTACATTGTTGTTTTTATTATTACTCATTTATTCACGTTTAATTTCGAATGTCAAAACAATATATTTTGAAAAAATATCTTTTAATGTTCCTAAATTATTTACACTTTCATGATCGATACTTATCTATAACTTAAACAATCAAATTAATTTATACATGTACAAAATCAATTTTGAAATAGCAGACTATATATATGAATCTAGTAAAACATAAATCAGGCTATTAGCTGGGCGTATGCACTAAGTGCAGTTAGTCTTATCTTGGCCAGAAAATAGATATAATAGAACAGATATTATCATGATAATTCAGGGTGATAAGGTGGAGTCTTGAAATGTGTCAAGTGGTAGATCGGGCAGTGATATTACCGTTAGTGTTATCGTATAATAGTATCACTAATCATATGTAAATATATTCAGATTGTATATCACATCGTTATGTAAATAAATACTGATTGTCTATCTCTTGAAACCGATTTCTTATCTTAGAGAACATCCGATATAAACATACAAACTGAATTACTATCATTTTAAAAACATCATTCAGTGTTTGTACGGAAGGCAAACATACTGGCCTATAGCCCCAAAACAATATCATTATTTCATTAATTGAATATTTCGATATTTCATTTATTTCTAATTATGTCACTCAATAATGTTGTCATCTTATATTTGACAACTCAATTGTCGATCGGAAAATTGAACAGTCACAGGTATGGTTATTATAATGACACCATACCGAAAGGGTGCACGTGCTTTTAGCGAGACCACACGTGTAAGTATGAAGGTTCCGACTAGCGACTGCATGCCGAATTACTTATTATTCTAAATTATTAAATATGAAATCTTCCAGGAGAACAAAGAATGGGGAGGCTTCGTCTTATTTTCTCTGTCCTTTCATGTCTAAGTTAATTAATTAACAGCACACGGAACGAACAAGTACTTTGTAATGGGAAGGCTAGCCGAAGCGTTTGTCATAGAAAACCTAAAACAATGAAAAAATATGTGTATTTTCTAGATAAAATGACGGAAGGGCGACGAGACGGAATTTGATTAAACCTGGAATTTTTGTGTGAAAATATACGATTATCTAAAACTATTAAACTATGTTATTTTTATTCTGTTCATATAAAGAATAAAATAAAACCTATATATACCTATAAAGAATTAGCCAAATATTACCTAACATAAAAAAAGGATTAAAAAGAAAATGTATTTTTTTCATCATTTAATCACCAGAAAAACTACTAGTGGCTGGAATGATTTCAGTAACATAGTTTTGATGGTATTTTCACAAAACATTCCTGAAATGTTATATATAGTTGGAGTGTATACGTTATAAGGCTGGTTCTGTGTGGTAAAATTTAACGGCTATCTTCCTCGCTCTGATAATAGGCAAGCGCCACATTAAAAGATTAACATTTAAACACACGTCTGTCCGACAATATTTGTGCACCAAAAGAAAAGTTGTCGATGGTGGCGCAACGCCAAAAAATGCGCAATTGTATCATGTTTTTTTTCTCCCGATAGCAAACGCTTAACACCAATGTACATATACTTCTTGAATGTTTTCCACACACGGTAAATTAAGATCATTCCGGTGATACTTTTGAAGCTGAGAGATAAGGGATATGTAATAGATCTGATAATTTTACTGTGAGGGAAAAACTATTTAGAAAATGCAACATAATGTCGCTGCTCGCACGTTAATATTAAAACTAGGGTTAAATATGTTCTATAATGTACATTAAATTAATTATATAAATAAGAATTAAAATATGTGTGATTTTGATAAAGCTGCCCCTTATAATGACTTACATCCAGCTGTCGAGAGAAAGCGAGGGAGTCCATGTTAGTACAAGTACTCCAACTGACGTTATCCAACCTTGGAAACTCCACCGAATCCTCATTTTCACTTAAAGTACAGGTAGGTCCACCATAGCGATCGAATGTATTCCGTACACGATGAAAACAGACACATTTGGGCCAGTTAAAATCTCGTGGTGGGGACCCGTCACATTTCAACACAATCTATATGATAACCCAGTGGAAACTCATTCACTCCTTCACATCGGCGGTCTCGATACGCTATTGGCTTCGGTGGAAACAGGTACGATTGTAAGGAGGGATTTGATTGGTTAACAGAAAAACCGCATGTGACTTTAAACGTTATATTGATACGTATCTCTGCAGTGAGCGCTGTCAAATCGTTACGTTTTAACTGTCTGATGTATGTATATAGCGTACTACTACAACTACCGTACGTTTTTTGTTTTCGTTCCTTAGCGCTAGCTACTCGCTCGAGGAACTTATCACCTGTAGGTCGAGCTAGACATATTTAATCATCAGTGTTTTGTCAATAATATCAATTTGACAAGAACAGGGCAGTAGGTATAAAAGTTTGCAAGAATAGTTAACAGTCTAAAGCACGTGTACAAAAGTTAATGATCTTATTATTATGTATGAATGGAAAAGAGAACTCGTATAGGAATGTTATGTTTACTCATAGTGTTTAAATATACGCGATCGGTGTGACAATGCATACGGAACGGTAACAATCGCCCTCCGTAAGATGTCTTACACGCTGAGGGTGTCATTTTTGGTTGGGGGGTCGTGAACAAATATGAGAGAGAATTGATCAAACATTTTAAATTGATTAGGAAAACATTGGATTGTTTAAAGCAACCCGCGGTGTCGAATTGTCACAAAGGTCACTCAGAAGACGCGGAACAATCGTATCGAGTTTTGTCGTATTAAAAGGGCAGTAAACTATTGTTAGCAGCACGACCGAAACCCATTGATACCCTAGACTTAGGGTATATGGTTAAACACACTTAATCAATTAAATTCTCCTAAGTGTTGAACTTTTATTTGTATACCTACATCTGACAAAAGAATCGTATAAAGGAACTTATCTTTAAATTATTTATGAACATCTAGAAAAAATGAAAGACTTCATTCATTTTAAACATTTGATTTATTAATAAATCGTTTTTAATTATGTTTTCGTATCACAAGAAATGGTACTTATTAAGTAATCAAACGAAAATAAATCAATTGAAATAACTTCTCCTTCGCTAAACATAAGGAATGTTTAATACGATGTGAAAATCGAGTGATGCAGTGGATAACGCACTCTTCTTTCACCAAGGCGGCCGGGGTTCGATTCCCCGATCTGACGTGAAAAGGTATGGTTCACCAGCCCGACCACATGGGTTTTCTCCAGGTACTCCGGTTTTCCTCCCCCATTGAAACCCCCAGTGCGCTAACATCCGGGCAAACACAAGTGATTAATGTATAAGATGTATTAACTTGTTTCATAATTGTTGTTAAATACATACGTTTATTTTTTATATGTAGAAATCACAAATTGGAACAAAAAAGGCGTAAGCTATATATATAGATAACCCATAAAGATAAATTATATAGATATAAACTAGGTCTACATCGAAATGATAATCAAAATACAGATCTTAGTCCATATCTGGGATGCCCTAAATATTTATAAATAATGCGTTGCATAGTTCAGGTATATAATGATCGTATTTACAACAAAACTGCTGTCGCATAGAACAATTAAATCATAAGTTTACATGTAATTAATCGATCGATCACATATGATATTTTCTGAATATTTTTTTTATTACTAGACGATTCATATTTAGTGTCAACGTCTTTCAAACATCAACAGAGAGACACTTGTCTAATTAATGACAAATTTTAATCAATAACAATAAATGTTCTAATACGGTATTAAGCCGTATCACGGTAATGCCAGTTTTTAACATATGTTTTAAGTATGGGCAGTGTCAGTTTCCAGGTAATAAAATACAGTAAAGCGGTACCTATTCGTTAAACTAATGACATGTTTTTTTTTATTAAATAATTCATTCGTTGAACTGTCAATCGATCAATCAGTTTCTACAATTGATCGATGACAACAAAAACCGCAATCCATGAAAATTGAAAAATGCGATTTTTAGGCGAAGTTTAACTTATATGCCACACCGATCGACATTGTAAACGTTAAAAAATAGTTATTTATTATTTTCGAAAATACCAAACGGTACGAAGAGACTTTTAATGATTTTCTAATAGGCTATTGTCTGACAGATTGGGTGACGTGACAAAAGTATGACTTCAGAAAAAAAATGAACATTTATCAATAATAATATTTCTTTTAAAATTACCGGGTATCTAATTAGATGAATTGTATACAATGATGCATGGCGCGTATACAATTCGAAATTTCGGTTTCTGTATAAAACAAAAGTCTATTGGCCTGTGTTTTATAAGGAAACATTAGTCCGAACATTTTAGTTTCTGAACACAGTAAAAACCTTATTAGTCCGGATTTTGGATTATGTATATTAAAGTTTCTGTACAATAAGGAGCCTCGTTTGTCCGCACGCTTCAGATTCCGAACATAATGAAACTTCACTAAATCCAACATTAAAATGTCTGAATAAGAATCAGCTTAGTTCGATCATTTTAATTGCTGTATAAAGTGATAAATGGTACTCCGGGTACTTGTTACTCTTAATGCAGTGACCTTTCATTAGTGAGGACACGTTTATTGTGTATACAACGGAACCTTGCTAGTCCGGACACTGTATACAATGAAAAGTAACGTGACAAGATACATTGATCATTCTGGATAATCAGACGTCTGGGTGAAACATTAATATACTCTAGTATGACGGTCACAAGTTCAGGAAGTTGCGAGATATCGCACGCACTCTGAAGTCTATAACTGCCAGACATAACCTGTAGTATCGCTTTGTCACGTTTTCACCGTCACTCGTCAATAACATCAATCCGACGTGAGTCCAACAGTGATGGACACCGCCATGTTAGATGTCGTTAACGCCGTTATTTCAAATGAAGCGTTGTAACTTCATAAGGCTAAGTGAATATGGTTATCTGTTGCACAGAGTAAATTACTTCATAGATTTATGGAAACTTACCGAACATGGTAAACCACAGCACTAATACAGTAACCTTCTACACACGGTAAATAACTGTAGTAACACGAGCCCCGCCCAGGCCAATGGGGTTTGGACAGAAACCCGAGTTTTACGATTTGATACCCAATTCCACTAAAGATGATTCTTACTGTGTGTCCTGCTCGAAGTGTCATAACTTCGGTAAATTTCACCTCAATTGTTTTTGAATTTTGTTTCCATTTTTTTACCTCTCGTCTCAACTCGCCAATTTTCTTGATAGTACGGTTACGCCATTATACCTTTCCTCTTAAAGGACCATAGGCTTACTTCCTTTTCTGGGGAGGTGAGAAGGGCAGTAGTCTAGGTCTTCATTGCTTTCTGTGGAACACTACTTAGGGATGACGGGACAGGGATTTATTTGTGAAGGGTAGGGGCTGGGATAATCTTTTGATGATCCACCCACATTTAGTCGATATATACAAAGTTTACTAAAAGACTAATAGTTTACATTTTCCTTTATTTATTTCTCAACATATTCAACGTGACTTCAGGCTCGTTTGTTTAACTGGGAAATAAAAACACAAATAAAAACGATCACCCCAAAATAACAACAGATCCCACTTGGATACAAATTGTACATTTTACATGACCTAGACATACTTGCAGCTATGATTGAATATATATATATACATGTATTCCGGACACCCGTTTCATTTGGTATGCCGTTACATCGTCTTTTTTCTAGATTGCTGAAGTTCTATTTCTCCCCATTAGGCTCCGCTCCTTGATCATTCAACCTAGCGGAGAGTAGAAAAACTTAATAACATATTATGGTTTTGTTTTATTTTGATGTAAATTTATACAATTTTCATTTCAGCAATAATAAATATGAAACAATTACAATTTTAGGTATAATACCAAAAAAATCGGAGGTAAAAATATAGTGTTTCCAGACTTGTCCACAAGCAGAATCTAGCATGTAAAACAATAGTCCTATACGGAGGTTCGAATCACGTCTTTTACAACACAATTAATGTTTGTGGTCACCTATCAGAGAACGGTTAAGAAATTTTCGCTGTTGAAACCCAATATATAACTTACTCCTGAGAAGGCCCTGGTTTCGACAAACAAAGATTGATAAGTAAGCAACATTTTGCACTGTATGTGCTAAAAGATATTTGAGTTGAAAGATGTGTAAGTAAAAGTGTAGGCGTAATTTTGTAGTTTCGCTAGATAAATTATGAACTTAAGAGCTTGAACTTTGAATAAAATGATGTAATTTGGAAAAAAAATACAGTCGTTTTCCCCAAATCAAAAGGAGTGGTTGGTTCTAACGTTTACACGTAACCCTAAACTGGAATTAATTGTCGATTCACGCCTTCCAGATGTTCGTAAAACAAACCGCTCCTCCCATTTATACACAGAATATCTGTGAAAATTATAAATCATAGAGCTGTTAGTCACTATGAGAGTGAAATAGAATAGAATTGTGTACGTTCAATGGCATTCTTTATTAGCATTCACTGTTTGTTCCTGTTAGTACTGGGCACATATAACGTTTTACCCTCGTATAAAGGACTTCTGTCGGACTCCTGTCCAAACAGAAATCAATCATATTATGCATAGAGATAGTTGCACCTGTAAAAAATCTGGTAAAAGATAGTCTACAGTTTGTCAAAAGGTACACAGCACCATACAGCTGATTCGTCTGATAGGACTCGTCGGTGAGAAGTGCTACTTTTCACGAAAGTCATATTTCTCATATAGAAAATTCCTATATACATCATGATCACGGAGAAGTTCCACAGTCCATGGAGAAATCATACTACCCCATATTTAATCAATGATACCCATACATAACCTTACTACCCATATCGAAGGTCATAGCGAATGGTGACCACAAAGACCCCTATTCCTTCGAGAAGAACGTGATTACGAGGGGCCGAGGGGTTCGCTGAGTGCGAAAAGCCAACGTTCGGCAGTGTTTCGAAATTGTTCTTTGAAAGCAAACAAATAACTCATAAACAGTTGATTTTTTTGGTTCTTTAAACATATTCAGTCAAACTAGGATAAATTATTTCTAACATATAAATATACAATGCACTAAAATTCATGTGTATTCATGTTTAAAGACAATGAGTAAC